TGCTGCATCCTGACGATTTTACAGAATGAATTGATTGCAAGTGGGCGCCCATCTGAGCCAGGCTTCTTCCAGTTCCCTCTTTCCACTGCCCTATAGAGTGGTGTTTAAGAGCCCAGCCCCTAAAACTGAAGGCACCTGAATTCAACTCCTGGGTTTGCCACATGCTGTCTGTGTGATCCTGCGCACATGACTTAACCCTCTCTAGTGTTCTCTTTCAGCACCTGTACAATGGGATGGGGTAGTTAGATGTGTTAATCTTGAAAAATGCTTGAAACCAGTTCTTGTTCATTTTTACAGTTCACTTTCCATGCTCCTTCTGCTCCCACACCCTCCATGGCTCCCCATGGCCCTCAGAAAAAAACCCACATCCTTACCTGTGACCCGAGAGGCCATGCATGGTCCATCTCCCACCAACTTCCCTGGCTTCACCTCCCTGCATCTCCTCATCACACTCTAGCCACTCTGGGTTTCTTGTAGTCTTAAAACACACCCAGTCTATTCTGGCTTTGGGGCCTTTGCACATGCTGTTCATTCCACAGGCAAAGCTCTTCCTTCTCCAGGTGCTCCTCCTTGCACTGTCCCATACCTGTGCTCAATTCCTCCTCCTCTCTCAGGTCTTCCTCATGTGCTGCTTCCCCTGGGAAGTCCTAGATCCCTCCAGGTCTGGTTGGCACACCTCTATTATATTCACAGGTCCCTGTTTATCTCAAATTCATGGGCCTCCATCCACAGGAAACAAATTGAAGTTCTCTATCACATCGCCAGGCCTATGGGGGGACTTTCTTGGGTATAGTTTTCCTCCTGTAAATCTCTCCTGGGGAAACTGAGTCTCACTACTGGGAGGTGTCTTGGAGCAGGTCCAGGCATATTTTTGAGGCAGAAACATGACTTTTTAGCCTCATTTAATCCAAGCAATGTATTTAAAAGCAAATACATTCAACACCAGCTTCTTCTCCTCTAGGGTAGCAAACTGGAGCCACATTCTCCTTCCGAGAGACCTCTGCTGGTCTTCTGAAGAGCCACCATGTTCCTCCCTCAGGGACTCCTTCAGCTCCAACCTTTCCTTCCAGCCCAAGTATAACCCTTGGGGAGCCTATGTCTGGTTCTCCTGGGGACCAGGCTAGGGTGAGGTTAGCACAGAGGATTCAGCTAGAGGTGTTTTGTGTTTTTTTTTTTTTTTGTCAAATTAATGAGTCTGCTTGACGAACTCCCATGTACTCTTCAAAATTCCAACCTCAATGTCTTTTCTCAGGATTCCTTCCCTGTCTCCTCAAACAGACCCCTCTCCCACTCTCCCACTCCTCCAACTCCAGGCCCCACCCTCTAGCTCAGTCCTGATTCTACAAGGCTGGGAACATCTGTGACCAGCTCTTCTTCCTACAAACTAGGTCTTCTTGGGGACTAGAACAGAGACCTCTTCGGTGCACAGGAAGGTTGTCAGGAAGTATTTAATGAGTGAGTGAGTGAATGAATGAATGAATTCCTGTTGTAGGGCCTGGAGTCAGATGCCCTGAAGTCACATTGTGACCAAGGTGCTAGACATTGAATATGTCCCTTGACCTATCTGAACCTTATTTTCCCATTTATCAAATGTATTTACTCAGAGTCTGGGCCCCAAGCTGTTGCAAGGATGAAATGAATTAACACATAAAGCATATGGCCCTCGGGGGCCTTAGGCTTCCTCCTGTCCCAAACAGGGAATGATTTGCACCCAGGACCAGCAGCTTTGTTCTGCTCTCCAGCACCCATAACTTGAGTGTTATCAAGACTTATTCTTAAAGAATGTTGACCAACAGGGTTGGTGAGAGGGTTGGTAAGAGGAGGAAAGAAAGGTGAATGTTTAAAAGGCTGAAACATTAAAAACTGGCAAGGACAAGGGGTGACACGGCTTCCTTCACAGGCCACGTGGGGAAACAGTCTGGTCATTCCTCGCCCCATGACCCAGCCATTCCACCCCTGGGCATTTACTTGGGGGAAAGGGGGTGTATATTTATCAAAAGACATGTACAAAAATGTTCAAAACAGCTTTATTCATGATAGCCAAAAACTGGAAACAACCAAACAACCCAAATTGTTCACCAACAGGTGAAATGGACAAATAGTGAAAAATTGGTATCCAGTTGTTACAATAAGATAAAAACCACCCAAGCATGTGGAGAGATTGGAACCTTCATACACTGCTGGTGGGAATGTAAATGGTACAGCTGCGGTGAAATCAGTCTGGCAGTTCTTCAAAACCTAAACATGAAATTACTTTATGACCCAGTAATCCCACTGCTAGGTATAGACCCAAGAGAATGGAAAGCTGATACTTGAAAGAAACTTGTACACAAATGTTCAAAGCAGCCCTATTCACAATAGCAAAAGGGTGGAAATAACCCAAATGTTCACCAGCGGATAAAGAGCTAAATACAATATGGTCCATCTACACAAAGGAATAAAGTAGTCATACACACTATAACATGAGTGTACCTTAAAAATACTGAATGAAGGAAGCCAGACAGAAATGGCCATGTATTGTATGAAATATCCAGGACAGGAAAATGGCTATAAAGTAGATTAGGGGTTTCCAGTGGCTGAAGGGAGCGGGTGTGGGGAATGACTGCTGATGGGGACAGGGATCTTCTTTAAAGGAATGCAAGTGTTCTGCAGCTAGATATTAGTGAGGGTCACACAACAGTGTGAATGTACGAAATGTCACTGAATTATATACTTTAAAATGGTTAAAATAGTAACATATATTACATGTATTTTACCACAATAAAAAAATGAAAAATGGTACCCAGGAATATTATATAGCTGTGAAAAGGCTCAAACACTTGCTCTTCAGCACCACGAGAAGAGCAAGAGAAGCCAGATCTAAGAGTGGATATCCTGTGTGACCCCATTTCTGTGAAGTTCAAAACCAGGTAAAATTTGCCTACAGTGACAGAAGTCAGGGCAGTGGTTGCCTTGAGGAAAGAGAGAATCAACTGGAGGGTGTAAGGAACCTCCAGGGCTGTGAATGTCCTAGATTCCAACCCAAGAGCTGTCCCCTCATCAAGTCCCACTCCTGTCATTGGCAACTTGACCAAGGTTATGTTAAACCTCAACAAAAATGTTAAAAAGAGAAAAGAATTGCCAGGGGAAAAAAATGAGAGCATCTGGCAGTTCTGAGGGCCCAGGGTTCCATTTTCGCCACAAATGCCTTTACCTGACCCCTCTGGGAACTGACAACATTGAAACAGGCATGGAGCTGGGCACTGACAAAGGCAGGAGGGTAGTAACCTGTGCCCAGTGCCTGAGATTTCAGAAATGGTTCCCAAAATGCTGCTTCATCTCTGGAGAGACGCTCCCCACACTCCCTACACTAGAGTCCCCAGCCTGGGGACACTCTGGGACAGGAAAACCTCAGGGCTCCAGAACACTCAGGACATCAGAGGCCTATAAAGGGCATCCTTCCCCCCAGTAAGATCTCCTGATGTAGACACATTTTGACACCGCAGGGCCAAACTGGGATAAATAACTCACAGCTTTGGGCAGAAGAAAAAGTAGAAATTTTGGTTACAAGGTTGGGTATGAATCCTGACCCAATCAATAAATGCACATGAAGGAATACATAAATAAATAAATGGTGGACCAATGGGCTTTTTACCCCCAATCCACAAGTCTTTGTCATATACTCTGCAGATGCTTGGCCTTGTTCTACAAAAGACCACGTCTCCAGAGAGGCCTCAGCTTGGTCTGGCCTCCAACAAGCTCCCATCCTGGTCGGGGGTACAGAGTCTGACACAAACATTCCCACTCTCATGATTGCTTAGAGCAATAGTAAAAAAAAAAAATCACAAGCAGCCAGGACACAGGGAAGGGAGCCAAGGCGGAGGGGTTGAAATAGAGGAAAGAGAGAGAGGAAGCTGAGTGCCAGAATGTAGATGGCCTGTGGCCAGCGACTATTACACACTGACCAGGGAGGAAGTTGGGCTGAACAACTCAGATAATGGAGGGCAGAGGGAGGCTGATTCTGCTTCCCAGACTTTTTTGTCTTGATTTCTTTTGTGTACCTCTAGAGACAGGGAGCTCACATCCAGGGGAGACAGCATGCGCATGGGCCACTGTTGAAATGTTTGATACAACGCGATTTTTCAAGTAGTGGCCACCATAGGTAAAAGGGCTAAATGAGATTGTTTGGAGATGGAGTGGTACCCACGTGAGCCAGCCTGTCAGTCCCTGCCACAGGCTGGATCTTGAATCAGATCTATATGAGTTCAAATCTCTGCTCTACCACTTACGGGCCTGGAGACTTCATCTCTCTAAGCCTAAGTTTTTCTCCTTTCTTTTGAAATGATTCTGATAACAGCATCTACCTCATACGTTTGTGCATGTAATCATTGAGCTAATGGAATAAAATGCCTGGAATAAAATAATGGAATAAAATGCACACAGCAAGTGCAGAAGCATGTTGCCCTGCTCCAGGCCCAGAGTGCTCTGGAATGTGTCTCAAACACATTGTACTTTGCTAAAACTTCACACCAGCTCTCACTTCTGCCTCATGTGCTCTTTCCTCACCACCCACACATGGCAAATTCCAACATGTCCCTCAAAGCCCTAGCTACAAGATATCTTTCTTTTCTCTGTTCAAACCCTGATCTAGGAGCTGGGAGCATCTGGACATGTTTCTGATTGGGCTCACTGGGGTATAATGTGAGCTCCTTGAGGGCAGAGATTCAGATTCACATGTGGTAGGCATGCAGTCAAAGCTTTTGGAATGGATGGACAGACGGACGGACGGATGGATGGATGGATGGATGGATGGATGATCATTTAGGGGGAGCCCAAAGCGAAGACCCAAGAGTACGCCAACCACGTAGGAGCCCTCATGACCAGCTCCCATTACCTCAAACAGCTAGGAGCGGGCAGGTAAATAGCGGAAGGGGGACTTCTGGGCGGGATCTTTGTTGGGTCCTTTGCGGCCCCTTTAAGGAGCGAAGCCAGCGGGGCGGGGCCAAAGGGGCGGGCACTCATAGCGTCAGGGCGGTGCGAAGATGGCGGCGGCGGCTGGGCCTGGGGCTGCTGAGGCGCCGAGCTCGCTGCTACTCGTGGTAGGCGGCGAGTGCGGGTGCCCGGGGCTGCTGGCCTACGTGCTGGAGGAGCTCGAACGAGGTCAGGCTGGAACTGGGGGCTGAGGGCTGGGGGATGGGGTGGGAGATGGGGCAGCCGGGCGGGGGATTGGAGATGGGGCGTGGGCTCGGGGGTGGGGCGGCTAGGCCGGTAGGCCGGCTGGATCCTGGGGGCCGGAGCCGGGGCCAGTGGTAGGGGTGGCGAGATCGCCGGGTAGGGGTGGCGAAATCGAGGAGCCGGGACCTAGGTCCCACCACCGTTAGGCGCACGGCACGGGCGGAGGTCGTGGTCGTCCGGGCCTGGGTTGGGCTGCTCCGCCCCAACCCTGGTGCAGATCGCAGAGGGGATACGGCCTGAGCATTGGGACCCGCGCGATTGGGCAACACGAGCGAAGACTCTGCCGGGAAGGGCATCGAGGAGAGGGCGTTGCCGCCTCTCTTAGCAGACTGGATACCCTGGAAGGATAGTAGACATGGGGAAGCCAGGCCTAGAGCCTCGGGGCCCATTTTCGGTGGCTCCATGAGGAGCTGCTAATTGGGGTGTGGGCAGGTGCGGCTTGCCCAGGGGATTTGGCACTTGAAGCAATGAGTCATAGGTGCACCTGCAAGGTTCATTCAAGTCATCTGCATCCACTTGGCATGGTGAGACTGGCTCGCATGGTGCACCCCACACCGTGGTTGGGGGCATTCATCTCTCCAGCCGGCAGGGCTTGGAGTCCATAGCCTGTAAATTTGGATGGCAGCATATTCCTCCATTCACAGGGTTGGGGAATGTTCTCCTGCAGGGTACAAGGTGGGGACAACAGGCAGGCTCAGCCTTGCTGTCACAGGGCTAATGATCTGGTGGGGAATGGACCCAACGTGAGTGGGGAGATGGAACCAGTTTTAAGCTCCAGGGGTGTGGGGAGTGCTCAGAAGGATGCAAAGGGCCTAGAGAACCTTAGGAGTGGGAAGGTTGAGGGAGGGGCCTCTGGACAGTGGGAACAACTGGCGACAGAGCCCAGAGGTTGGAATGTATGTGCCTGACAGTGGTGAGAAGCAGTGAGACCTGTGATGGGGGTGGGGCAGGTGCTGGATGGGCTTTCTTGCTGATGTCCTGAATCTTCTCTGTAACATGCCAAGTTATGCCTTGGGTCCCTCAGTGCAGTGAGATTCTAAGGCCCATTAAGTGGTTCTGAGTTTCTAGGCTGTCACCGCAGGGGCAGGTTGAGCGGGGGGGACTGATTTCTCACCTTGCTTCCCTTCCCCGCACCAGGCATCCGGTCTTGGGACATTGACCCTGGCATCTGCAGCCTGGATGAGCAGCTCAAGGTCTTCGTGTCCCGGCATTCAGCCACCTTCTCCAGCATCGTAAAAGGTGAGGCTGAGGACCCCGTGTGCCCAGCTGCTCCCCTCCTGTGTTCATTGGGCAGTGTTCTCGGAATGCCTAAACAACAACAGTAAAACATACCTGAGCTCTGCTGAGTGTGGAACAGGGGCAGACCCTGACCTGGTGCATCTCCCTTGATTGTCAACAGCCCGTGAGGCAGGAACTTGTGAGGCAGGAATTTGACAGATAAGGCAGCTGAGATGTGGGGGACAGGGAGACCTCTGATGAGGGGACTTTTTGTAGGAGAAGCAGCTGAGGCTGCTGTGTCAGGTGGAGGGAAGGGCCCAGGCAAAAGGACAGGACATTTGGAAAAGGAGAGACTGCTGGGTGGGCCTGGAGGGTAGAGTATGGTCCTTGTGTGGCAGAGAATATGTCTGGTTCATGCCTGTGACCCCTGCACAGGGTTGGGTACACAGCAGGTACTCAGTAGATGGGGAGCTGAGAAAGAGCAAGTTGAGGAGGGAGTTGGGATTCCTGGACCGGTCTCACATAGCCCATGGCTCCCTGGGGAGTCTGGAGTGACCCGGGGTGAACAGAGCAGCTGTTGAGTGAGACCTGGGTGTCACCTGGGCCCCCCTACCAGCCATCTCAGCCAGCCCGTTTAGTCACCTCCAGGCTGCTGCAGGACAGGAAGGAAGGAGGGGAAGGAAGTGACCATCACCTCATTGTCCAAGCAGTTCCGGGTGGTTTCCTGACCCCCTGGAGGCGGGGAGGGCTGGAAATCCCGTCGGGCTTTTGTGACCTCCTAGGCCACTTCCCTTCTCTGTGCCTTGGTTTCCCCACCTGAATGAGGCAATATCCGGGTGTGTGATAAGAAGCACATGATAAACTGCTAAAGGTTGACTAGCGCTGGAGGGTCCTTTCCTCTCTAGCTCTCTAACCCAGGACACACCAGAGTTGGGATCTCAGAATCAACCTCACTCCCCTCTCCTGGCCTATGAGGCCTTCCCACCTTCACCTTCAGCTTCTTCCTGTTGCTCCTCGCTCCACTCCCACTCGCCACTTCTCCGATCCTCCCCCGTTCTGCCTCAGGATCCATGTTGTTCCATCATTGGTCCTCCCAGGGCTCAGGCTCCTTGCTTTTAAAATGGTGATGGCATCTCCTACAGGTCTGAAAGCTGTGAAGTAGGCCCCACAAGCAATGGTGACCCTGTTGTCACCCTTGTTTTTAGTGGGAGGCCTGCTAAGGTGGGCTTCCAGTTCTTGCCTCATCTTTACCTATGGTGCTACCATGTGGGCCAGCTCTGCCTGGCTGGGTTCCCGGGAAACAGATCTTAGGGAGGCTTGTGGCTGCCTGGGGTCATACAGGGAGGCAGGATCCTACCCTGGGACAGCTTGACCCCATGCACACAGCCAAGCCCCAAACTCACAGGGTCTGTCTGATACCCCACAGGCCAGCGCAGTCTGCACCACCGTGGAGATACCCTGGAGACCCTGGTACTTCTGAACCCATCAGACAAGTCCCTCTGTGACGAGGTAGGGACCAGTCAGCTCTTGGAGTAAGTTGTCTTCAAGGACCCATGCCATCCCTCCTCCTGATCTGTGTCCCTGTCTTCTCACTGCCTGAAATCCTTTTCTCGGCACCCGGCATCAGTGCTCCCTCCCTCAGGAAGCCTCCCCAACCCACCATGGCTCCAGCCTCAGTTTATTCCCTCCTCAGGAGTGATGATGGGAGTAGGTGGAATCAGAAAGGCTAGAGTTTGGGAGGAAGGAATGGGATAGGGAAGGTCTGGAGGTAGGAAGGCAGGACCCTACTGATGTTTGTATTTTGTGCATTCCCTCGGGTTGGGCCACAGTCGTCTGAACTGACTTCTTAATACTTCTAGTTTGTGGACGTCTGCATCCTTCTTCCAATTATCTATGAGAAAGATGAACAAGATGGAGCCCCAGGGCACCCCTCTAGAGACCTTTGTACAGGTTGCTTCCTTTGATCAAAAATGTTCTCTCGAGGGGCACAGGAGACAGGCAGACACAGATACCCTTTTCCCCATGGCATTGGGGCTGAACCATAAGGAGAAATGGGCTTGAGGGAGCCCCAAAAGTATATGGAGAGCTTCTAGGATGAGGGAGCCCTGGAGGCAGGTTTTGTAGGATGAGCAAGAGTTTGGAGGGGGGCAGGAAGGGCCCAGAAGGAGGCCCAGAGGCTACCTTTCTGGCTTCTAATTGAGCACTGGCCAGCCTGGCTGTGGGGTAGGGACAGGAGAGGGGTGGCTATATGTAGATTTGGGGTTGTTAGGTCACTGTGCAGAATAGGGCCTTTAACACTTTCCCCCTTCCGCAGCTCCGGAACCTTCTGCTGGACCCTGCCCCTCACAAGCTAGTGGTGCTGGCCGGGCCCTGCCTGGAGGAGACAGGGGAGCTGCTGCTTCAGACTGGGGGCTTCTCACCCCGTCACTTCCTCCAGGTCCTAGGGGACAAAGAGGTAAGCTGCCTCCTCCCCATCCCGCTTCCCCTGGCTCTGAGTCCTGGTTTTGTGGCCCCAATGACCCGCTGTCTCCCTGAGCCCCATTCCATCCTCCTCTGTGGAAGGATGGTGGTAACACATGTCCTTCTATTGTTAAAGCCCAGTGTCTTCACCTACTACAGTTGTGGTTCAAGGCTAGACCTGTGGATAGATTGGCAGACATCCCAGAGGCCCCAAGTGCCATACCAGATACCAGGGCCCACTAGAATGGAGCTGGATGGGGTCCCTTCTGGAGTCCCTGATCAGGGTGGGGCAGATGAGCAAAAACTTTGGAAACCACGTGTTCACATTGTAGTGAGTGATGTAATGATGGTGAGAGAGGAGCCAGTGAGGAGACAGGGAAGGCCCCCTGGAGGGAGCCGTGCTCGAAGAAGGGGTAAGAGCAAGTGCAAGTGCCCGGGGCAGGGAGAGTGAGAGAAGGAGGGTGTGAAGGAGGGGAACATAGGGTGAGGCAGGGCTGGGAGAGGGCTTGGTTTTTGTCCTGAAGGTGACAAGGGACCACCCCAGGAGGCAGGACAGGGGTGTCCTTGCCCAGTTTTCCCAAGGGGATGAGTGTCGGTGTGGCTCCAGGTAGCCCCTTAACCATATTTCACCTCTCCCACTGTAGATCCAGGATCTCCTGGCTTCTGCACCCCCACCTGCAGACCCGCCCAAGCTCACCATCACCTGCCCATCCTTTGGCAACTGGGCCCAAATAGCACCTGAAGTTACCTGCCTCCAGGGCGGGCTCCGGCTGCAGCTGAACCCACCGGTGCAGCGGCCAGTCTCTGAGGGCCTGCGTGAGTTCCTGGAGTATGTAGCTGAGTCACTGGAGCTGCCATCCCCCTTCGAGCTGCTCGAGCCACCGGCATCCGTGGGCTTCCTTAGGCTCGCCCGGCCCTGCTGCTACATCTTTCCTGGTGGCCTCGGGGATGCCGCCTTTTTCGCCGTCAATGGCTTCACCATGCTGGTTAATGGAGGCTCGAACCCTAAGTCAAGCTTCTGGAAACTGGTGCGGCATCTGGACAGAGTGGACGCCATGCTGGTGACTCACGCAGGCGCTGATAGCCTCCCGGGTCTCAACAGTCTGCTGCGGCGCAAGCTGGCAGAACGTGAGGAGGCGGCGGCCGGTGTGGGCTCCGAGGATGACAGGCTGCGAAGGCTGGTCTCACCTAGCCTTGGCGTTGTGTTCCTCAATGCCCATGGGGTTGCCTCGCGTCTGGCGCGTGGCGAGGATGAGGCAGAGCTGGCCCGGAGCCTACTGGCTCGGCTGGGCATCACGCCTTTGCCCCTGAGCCGAGGGCTGCTGCCAGCCGAGCCCACTGTGCTCTTCCAGAAAATGGGTGTTGGTCGGCTAGACATGTATGTGCTGCACCCGCCCTCAACCAGTGCTGAGCCTGCGTTGGCCTCTGTGTGCGCCCTGCTGGTGTGGCACCCTGCAGGTCCCACTGAGAAGGTGGTACGTGTGCTATTCCCTGGCTGTACTCCACCTGCCCGCCTGCTGGATGGTCTAGTCCGCCTGCAGCACTTGGGGTTCTTGCGAGAGCCTGTGGTGACCCCCCAAGATCTGGCAGGGCCTCGGCGTGCTGAGAGCAAAGAAAGCGTGGGCTCCCGGGACAGCTCGAAGAGAGAAGGCCGGACTACAGTGCCTGCCAGGCCTGCCCAGGAGCGTCCTGGGGTGGCCCGGAAGGAGCGGCCACGGGCTGAGGCCCCTCGCAGGGCTGAGAAAGAATCTAGGCCCCCCCAGGAGGTGAAGAAGGACCCCAAGCCGAGCATGCCTCGGACTCAGCCCCGGGAAGTGCGCCGGGCAGCTTCCGCTGTGGTCAGTGGCAAGAAGGCAGGTGCCCAGGCAGCTCCCAAGCCCCGAAGAGCACCCAACACCCCCCGCCCAGGTGTCCCATTGGTGGAGAATGGGCCCCGTACCCCTTCCAGCTTCCGCTGCAGAGAGGACAACCCCCCCATGGAGGCCAGCAGCTCCCCAGCACCCCAGCTGGTGGCCACACCCAGCCAGGGGAGCAGTGTGGAGCTGGGGCTGAGCCCTGCCAGGGAGGACAGTGGCAACCTAGAGGAGAAGACACAAGAGCAGCAGGCGTCCACTGGCACTCCCCTGCCATGCACCCCCTCACCCACTGGAGCCTGCCAGGGCCTGGCTGAGGGCAGCAGGAGACTGTCACTGAGCCCACTGCGGGGTGGGGAGGCCGGGCCTGATGCCTCCCCCACAGTGACCACACCTTCCCTGCCAGCTGAGGTGGGCTCCCCACACTCCACAGAAGTGGATGAGTCCCTGTCTGTCTCCTTCGAGCAGGTACTGCCACCTCCTCCTGCCCCCATGAGTGAGGCTGGGCTGAGTCTCCCACTTCGAGGCCCCCGGGTGCAGCGCTCAGCCTCCCCACACGATGTGGACCTGTGCCTCGTGTCTCCCTGTGAGTTTGAGCACCGCAAGGCTGTGCCCATAGCACCAGCCCCCACATCCCCCGGCAGCTCCAATGACAGCAGTGCCCGGTCCCAGGAGCGGGCAGGTGCCATGGGAGCTGAAGAAACACCACCCACATCTGTCAGTGAGTCCTTACCAACGCTGTCTGACTCAGACCCTTTGCCTGCCGCCCCGGGCACTGCAGACTCGGATGAGGACACAGAGGGCTTTGGAGTCTCTCGCCGCAATCCGCTGCCTGACTCTCTCAAGGTCCCCCCACCACTGCCTACTCCCCCCAGCATCTGCATGGTGGACCCCGAGCTGCTGCCCCCTGAACAGGCCCGGCTGACAGGTGGCCTCAGCCGTACCCGGAAGTCTCTGGTCCGCCCCACCCCTGGAACCACCACCCCCAAAGCCACTTCAGTGAGCGCTGCCAAGACCAAGGCGCTCGCCGGTGGAGACCGAACCAGTCGGCCACTCAGCACTCGGAGTGAGACCAGTGACAAGGGAGGTCGGGCACCTCTATCCAGAAAGCCCTCGGTCCCCAAGACAACCACTCGGGGCCCATCTGGTAAGTAACTGGGGCCTGAAATCTTGTAGTAGGTTACCAACCCAAGTCCTCCTGCCCTAATGCTGTGTGGCCTTCCTTAGCCATGCCTGCCACCCTCTATGGGCCTCAGTTTCTCCTATAAAATGGAAGCTCTGGCCTCACTGTTTAAGCACTTGGAATTCCGAGTTGCTCAAGCAGTGCTGCAGAAACATACAGTGAGCATATGTCGTCCTGGGTTTACTAGTAGCCATAGTGAGTGGAAAGAAACAGGTGAAGTTAGTAGTATATTTGACCTGACCATTTGTGTCAAGGTTCCTAAGACCAGGCTCAGGTTGATGATTGGTTAGGAGGACCCGGCACATAGTTGTACTCTTGGTTTGGCTGCGATGTATGAGAACAAAAGGATGGAGGACACAATATCCCCAGAGAACCAGGCACAAGCTTCTAGAGTTCTCTCCCAGTGGAGTCATACCATGTTTAATTTCGGAGCAACAAGCTGTGATCACACAGAAGTGGCCTCCACTGGGGAAGCCTGTTAGAGACTCAACCGCAGGGTTTCTGTTGGGGGCTGGTCACATTGGCACCTCTCCCTGGCTCATTCCACAGTTCCAGACTCCTCAGAAAAGGGAAAGCCAGTGTTCAGCCTAAGCCACATTGCCGTATGAATGGTGTAGGCTTAGAGAGCCACCCTTATTGTTTACAGAACAGTGAGAGCCCTTCTGAAATCTCAGTTCCCAGATGCCAGCCCCAGGCCAACCTGTAAGCAGGCCTTCCTGAGGATAGCAGTCTGGGACCTGCTTTGTTAACCTTGTCTTCTGATTTTCCTTAATTGTGACAAAATGTGTATAACATGAAATTTACCACCTTAACCATTTTTAAGTGTCTGGTTTAGTGGCATTAAGTACATTCATATTGTTGTGCGGCCATCACTACCATTCATCTCCAGAACTTCTTTCAGCTTGCAAAACTGAAACTCTCTTCCCATTAAGCACTAACTCCCATCCCCCTCCCCTCAGCCCCTGGCACCCACCCCTCTGCTTTCTGTCTCTTATGAATCTGATTCCTCTAGGGACCTCATATAAGTGGGATCATACAGCATTTGTCCTTTTGGTGACCGTCTTGTTTCAGTTAGCATAATGTCCTCATGCTTAATCCATGTTGTAGCAGGTGTCAGAATTTCCTTTTTAAGGCTGAATAATATTCCATTGTATGGATGGATCACATTTTGTTTATTCATCCAACCATGGACATTTGGGTTGCTTCCACTTTGGCTATATAAATAATGCTGCTATGAACGTGGACATACAAACATCCCTTTGAGACCCTGCTTTTAATTCTTTTGGATAAATACCCAAAAGTGGAATTGCTGGATCATGTGGTAATTTTATGTTTAATTTTTTGAGGAACCTCCATATTATTTTCCATAGCAGTTGCACCATTGAACATTCCCACCAACAGTACACGAGGGTTTCAGTTTCTCCACATCCTCATCAACACTTACTTTGTTTGTTTGTTTGTTTGGTTGGTTGGTTTTTGTTAGTAGCCATCCTGATGGGTATGAAGTGGTATCTTGTGGCTTTGATTTGCATTTCTCTGATGATTAGTGATGTTGAGCATCTTTTCATTTGTTTTTTGGCAGTTTCTGTGTCTGATTTGGAGAAATGTCTACTTAAGTCCTTTGCCCATTTTTGAGTTGGGTTGTTTGTTTTTTTTGTTGTTGGGTCGTGAGAGTTCTCTGTGTATTCTAGATATGAGTCCCCTATCAGATATATGATTTGCAAGATATTTACTCCCATTCTGTGAGTTACTTTTTTACTCTGTTGGTGATAGTGTCCTTTGATGCACAACAGTTTTTACTTTTTTTAAACATAAAGTTCAATTTCTTTTTTTCTTTCGTTGCTTTTGTTTTGGTGTCACATCCAATAAATCATTGTCAAATCCAGTGTCATGAAGCTTTTGCCTTATGTTTTCTTATAAGAGTTTTATAATTTTAGCTCTTAAATTTTGCTCTTTGATCAATTTTGGGTTAATTTGTGAATAAGGTGCTAAATAAAGGTTCAACTTCATTCTGTTGCATGTGGATATCCAGGTTTCTCAGCACCATTGTTGAGAAGACTCTTCTTTCCCCCATTGAATGGTCTTGGTACCATTGTCAAAAATCATTTGATCTTATATATGAGGCTTTATTTCTGGGCTCTTTATTCTATTCTGTTCATCATTTTTGGTCTTACTAATTTGAGTCTTTTTTCTTAGTCAATCTAACTAAAGAGTTGTCGATTTTGTTAATTTTTTCAAAGAACCGACATTGCTTTTCCTCTGTGTTGTTTTTCTGTTCTCTATTTTTATTGATCTCTGTTCCAATCTTTATTTTCTTCCTTTTGCTAGCTTTAGATTTACTTTCGTTCTTCTTTTTAGTTCCTTAAGAACTGGGTTAGGTTGTTGTGAAGTTAGGTCATTGATTTGAGATATTCTTTTTAAATATAAGCTTCTTAAATATAATATTTTGGTATAAACTTCTCCTTTAGCACCACTTTCTCTCAAGATTCTCTTTGTCTTTGCTTTTAACAGTTTGAGTATAATGTGTCTCAGTGTGGGTCTCAGAGTTCATCCTACTTGGAGTTTATTAAGCATCTTGGATGTTTATATTCATGTTTTTAATCAGATATGGGAAATCTTGAGATTTTATTTCTTTAAATATTTTTTCTACCCCTTTCTCTCTCTCTTCTCTTGCTGAGAATCCTACAGTATGTATGTTGGTTCTCTTAATGGTGTCCCACAGGTTTCTTAAAACTTCACTTTATTTAATCTTTTTTCTATTTCTCTAATTTGATAATTTCCATGGCCCTCTCATCAATTTTGCTGATTCTTCTGCTTATTCAAATGTTGAACTGAATCCCTCTAGTGAATTTTTCATTTCAGTTGTACTTTTTCAGCTGTAGAATTTCTTTTTGGTTTGTTTTTGTTTTCTATCTTCTTACTGATTTTCTGTTTTGTTTATACATTGTTTTCTTGGTTTTTCTCTATGTCTTCCTTTAGTTCTTTGAGGATCTTTCAGACAGTTGTTTTAAAGTCTTTGTCTAGTAAGTCTACCATCTGGTGTTTGTCAGGGACAGGTTTTGTTGATTTATTTTTTCTTTTGGATGGTCTATACTTTCCTGTTTCTTTATGTACCTTGTGATTTTTTTTTTTTAAACTGGACATTCGAATGTAATAATGTGGTAACTGACAATCCAAATTTCCTCTTTCCCCAGGGTTTGCTGTGGCTTTTGGATGTTTAATTATTGTGGGCTGTCTCTGTGCCAGAGATCAGTCTTGAAGTATAAATGTAAGGTGTTCCCAGGTCTTTTCTCAGCCTAAACTTTTCTCTGGGCATGTGTAGTGACTTTCTAAGTTCTCCTGTGTATGTAGTTGCTTCTGAATATCTTCGTCCTTAAATACCTGGCTCCAGAAGGGAAGAAACAAGAAGAAATTTGTGGTCCTTTAAATCTCACATAAGTCACTTCAACTTGAGAGGGAGGGTCTGCAATACAATCGTCCTGTAGGTGGGGAGCGGTGCTTCCTACTGCCGAATCCCCCTGCTTTGTTAACTTTCCGGCATACTACTATATCAAGGTGATACTTAAACATGTAATCAACATAAAAGATTATTAGAGCCCTTTTTCTTTTCTGTACTAAGTTTTGGGGGCTTGGCATGTGTTTGACAACCCCAGCTCCTGTCAGCTCATACCATGTTGCAATGCTTGGTGATCACTGCATTGGTTAGCGTGGGTGTAGAATTACTTAGGGAGGGCTGGTGACAAAGCAATGACAGTGACAACAGTAATAATTGTAGCTTATGTTTACTGAGCATTTGCTTGTGGGTTGGGCCCTATTCCAGGTGCCCAGGGTAGTCCAGCCCTCTAGGAGCTGATGGGTATCTCTGGCTTCTCTCCCTGCGTGGCCTGTCTTTGCCTCCTGGCCACCCCGGTCTCTTGATGAGCTTCAGTGCCCGCCTGAGCTACCATCTCTTGTCTTTCTTGAGCAAATTCCAAGGAAGGCATCTTATGGGCCCCTGTGACCTTTGGCTAGTCAGGGGTTCCCAGCACGGTTGCAGGGCGAGGGTGGCCCCTCTGAGCCCATGGGAAAGGCTGGCACCTGGAGATTGGGGATCATCTGAGGCTCTGTCTGCCAGGTGTTTGGCCTCTTTGTAGAGGCCACAGTTTTGACCATTCAGGATTCTGACCCTCCATGCTATGTCAGCAAACTGAATCTTAAAGGGCCGAAGGGTAAACTTTTCAACTTTGCAGGCTGGACTGTCTCTGTCCCAAACTCAACTTGGCCTTGGTAGCACAAAAACATCTCAGTAAGTAACTGAATGGGTAGTCCAGTAAAACCGTCTTTATAAAAGCAGGTGGTATTTAGCCTGTGGGCTATAGCTTGCTGGCCCCTCTCCTACCCGCATCCTCCTGCCCATGTTTCCCCACATCTTCTCTTTGCTCTTTCCACTCTGCCACTTCTGTCTCCCTGTGCTCTTCATAGCCACAGTAGCTTTATCTTCCTAAGGCTCTGTACAGGATCCTTGCAGCCACAGTCCCCAGTTTTGAGTGAGGGAACACCACTTGCCCAAAGCTAGGGGTTTCATTTAACCTGCAAATGCTCCCACTGCCCTCTGGGCCCATACCCTGAACTGGGCAGTGTTTATGATCATAAGACGCCAAATGTCTGGCAGGTTTCCTGTACCCAAGACCTCAGTGAAGTGATTATGAGTTCACTCACACTGGAGTGGCTGCCTTGTCCCCTCATACAGGCTCTGGGTTCAGGGCTGTGGACAAAGCCCCAAGCGCAGCTGCCCCAGCTCCATCCAGGCCACCCCATCCTGGGACTCCTTGCAATTCAGAGCCTCCCATGCTAGCTCTGGCTCTCTGTCACCCCGGTGGGCAGGGATTTTTATCTGTCTTGGTTACTGCCATGTTCACAGGACCTGATGCCCTGGAGGGCTAGATAAATATCCCTCGAGTAATTGAACAGGTAGATGTTGCAGTAGCCACAGAGTGTTCCAGACACCAGTTGCTTTTAGGGCTCAAGTGTCTAAAATCCCCCTCTTTCAGGAAGCACTCCACGATTGCCTCCTCCTTCTGGCCCTGAGGATGTTTGTTTCCAAGGACTAAACAGGCACGAGGAAGCAGCCAGGGGTTTTTGCAGTTCATGCCAGGGTGGGCTTGTCAACCAACCATAAAACAGTGAGATCAGGCCTCATGCTGAGAAGGGAGCCACTGGAAGCCTTGTCCCAGGCCCTGAGTCTCAGCCCCTTCTCAGTCCCAGGAGCTCACAACTGATCCCATCTCTCTGGCCCACAGGGTCAGCTGGTAGCCGGCCAGGTGGGTTGGAGGCCTCACCTGGCTCCCCAATCTACCTTGACCTGGCCTACCTGCCTAGTGGGCACAGTGCCTGCCTGGTGGATGAGGAGTTCTTCCGGCGGGTGCGCGCACTCTGCTACGTCATCAGTGGCCAGGACCAGCACAAAGAAGAGGGCATGCGGGCCGTCCTGGATGCACTGCTGGCCAGCAAGCAGAAGTGGGACCGTGACCTCCAGGTATGTGACCACCCCAAGGCCTCAGACAGTTTTGGCACAAGGCGGGTTCAGTACCTTCTTGTGTCTTCCTATTGAACCACACAGAGGAGGGAATGGAGCTCAGAGAGACTCAGCTGCATCCCCAAGGCCACAAGAAAAGGAAGGAGGGCAAATATAGGAGTTCCCTCCCCCACCATTCTCAGGATGCTGTTCCTGTCATGTCCTTTTTTTCATCTATTTGCAGCAACCTGGGTAAGGACACAGGGTGTGGCTGATTTGATCACCTCCCCTGACCCCTGGCTCTCAACTACCCCACTATCATGAGAACTGGCCAAGAGGAATGGCAGGGGGTGGGGGAGGGGGGATGGGCGCAGCATCTACATAGTTAGGAAAGAGGGTCTGGAGTTGTCCCTAAAGGAAGCCTTGAAACAACCTGGAAGGATGAGGCAAGTGTGGGTAAAGGGAGGAACTTCGAGGTACCTGGCTGCCCATCAGGGTGTGAGTGTGTGACCCCCGAGCCTTGCACACAGCTTACAAAGCAACTGGGAGGGAGAGAGGGCACAAGGCACAGCATGGGCAAAGGCCTAGAGGTGGGAGCAAGCGTGGTATGTCCAAGGATCTGGAGGGAGGCCCAGATGAGCCACTAGCAGGAGGTACAGAGAGGGATTCACAGAGTGGTGGCCTGGTCTCCTGGGTTGTAAGAGGGTCCTTTGGGTGCTGTGGGGAATAGAAGGGACTTCAGGGACGTACTGGCTGCTGGCTGCAAACAGGTAAGAAATGAGGGAAGCAGAGCACATGCGATTAGAGAAGAAGGGCCTTGGCTGCCAAGGGCCTGAGCCAGGAGGGCAGAGGGTACTCTCCCCCTCATTGTCTGTCCATCTGTCTTGCCCACAGGTGACCCTGATCCCCACCTTCGACTCAGTGGCCATGCACGAGTGGTATGAGGAGACACATGCCCAGCACCAGGCGCTGGGCATCACAGTGCTGGGCAGTAACAGCACAGTGTCCATGCAGGACGAGGCCTTCCCTGCCTGCAAGGTGGAATTCTAGCCCCACATCACCCCCATCCTGACCCTCACCCCTCGAACCAAATCTGCCACTGTCCTGAGAGTCACTGCATCAGAAATAAATCAAGTGTCCCACTCAGCTGTGGCCTCGGTTCCTTCTGCTGACAGGAGACTTGGCATCTGGGACAGTCATCGCCACTGCGTGGGCTCCAGGTCAGGCATGCTCTGGCCTCCATGATGCAGATGGGAAAACTGAGGCCCAGGAGAGGGCATGCCTCTCCAGCAGTGATCACTACCAGTGGCCCTTGGCCCTCCAGCCCAACCTGGCCACTATGAGGGGCCCATTTTACAGACAGGGAAGGCATACAGACCCTTGCCATACAGACTGGTCAATGGCTGAGGTGAGATTTGAACCCCAGTCTCTGCTCCAAAGTCGTAAAACAAAAGCTGCTCTCTGTTCCTGGAGAAATTAGATACTCATACCAGGAGAGTCACAGCTGCAGGAAGGAGGAATCTGAAACCCAAAGGTTACAAACAAATTTCATGATGAGCCCCTACCCTGACCACTGCACGTACAGAAACTCCTAGATAAAATTTTAGTTAAGATGCCATCTGTACAGGGTTGAAAGTGACCCCCAAAAACATACCAAAGTCCTGATCCCTGATGCCTGTGAATGTGACTGGGTGTGGAGAAAGGGCCTTTGCAGATGTAATTTAGTGAAGGATCTCGAGATGAGATCATCTTGGATTGGCCCTAAATCCAATGACAAGTGTCCTCAGAAGGGGAGACGGACCCATACAAGAAGGCTCTGTGCAGATGGAGGCACAGATTGGAGTGATGAAGCTGTAAGTGGAAGAACACTGGCACCCCCAAAAGCTGGAAGATGTGAGGATGGCTCCTCCCCTAGAACCTCCTGAAAGAACTAACTGCCCACACCTGTTCTAAGCCCCCCAGTTTGTGATACTTTGTGACAGCAGCCGCAGGACATAATTCATCATCGGACGTCCTGAGATGGTTAGCGCACTGTGTGTGGCTGTGTAGGTTTTCATGGTACAGACTCCTTCCTCAGACTCTCAATCAGTGTCTTTGTTCAGGGTGCTGTAATGTTACCGCAGAGAGGGCAGCTTAAACAACAAACTTAATTTTTATGATTTTGGAGGCTAGAAGTCTGAAATCAGGGTGCCAGAATGGCGGGGTTCTAGTGAAGGCCTCTTCCTGGCTTGCAGACGGCTGCTTTCTTGATGTGTCCTCACATGGCCAGGGTGGCAGGGGCACAGAGAGCAAATTCTCCTGAGTGCCTTACAAAGGCAATAATCGCACCATGAAGGCTCCATCCTCGTGGCCTCATCAAACCCTAATGACCTTCCAAAGGCCCTAACTCCTAACACCATCCTATTGGGGATTTGGACTTCAACATAGGATTTTTTTTGTGGGGAGACACAAGTCAGTCCTTAGCAGATAGGAATCAGAGTCACAGGGCCAATGGCTGGCGCAGAGAGCTCTCCTTGGTATTTTTATTTTAAGAAGCTGGGGGAGCGGAGTGAAGTCTGGGTTTTTGCCCTGAATACTTGGTGGATATTTCCCTGCCCTTTACATTTCTGATGCTGCTGCGTTTCTCCTCACCCGTACTCAGCCTGCCAGCTTGATAGAATTTCCACCACCTAGAAAATCAGGTATCCAGACAGAGGACGGGGACACATGGCAGCCAGTCAGGCACCAACTCCTAAGGGCTTCCTCTACAAAGCATTTCACTGACTAAAGCAAGTCACATGACTGCCTAGTTCAGGAGCTGAGAGACAGAAAGCTCTTCCCTTGTACCTGGAAGGAGAGAAATCAGAAATAGTGAAAATCAACTAATAACCACCGACAACTCCCCAAAGAGAATTTTGCCGTGACTAGGGGTTGGGTTGGCAGACTTTTAAGATTTTTTTTTTTAATTTTTCGATGTCGTGGTCTATACAGTCTCTTCAGACCACTCAACTCTGCTGTTGTAGCTGAACAGGTGAAAGTGGCTGCATTCCAATAAAACTTTATACTGACCCTCTCCCATCTACATAATAAAATAGCTTGTAGCCTGGAGTCGCTCCCACTCCCACCCCTCTTCCTTTCTCTGTCCTCTCTCTGTCTGGTCTTCCTCCCTCTCTCCAATCTCTCCTGACAGCTGTCTGGCCCAGACGCAGCAGGAGCAGCCACTAAAAATATCCCTGCAGCATCAAAGCACCTGGGGGCCCTGGGCCTGCGCAAGTCAGGAGCCGGATATATGCCCTTGGCCCGGGCACAGTCTGCGCTGCCTGTGCACGGGCAGCCCTTCCCGGATACTCACCCTGTGTGGAGCCGCAACTGCCTAGGATTTCTTGGTGTTTCTTCAACATCCAGATCCTGCCTCCAGGCCTTTGTACTCGTGGTGTCCTCTGCCTAAAATGCTACCATCCAGTCAGTTGTCATTCATCAAATGCTGACCTCATAAGGCAAACTGTCAAGTGGGCGAGGCAGACACAGGCAACCACAAACCACGGGGGAGGGAGTTTTTTGGAGTGGTGGAATGGCACCAGAGAAGGCCCCCACACTGCCCAGGGATGCGGATGCAAAGGATCAAGTATAGTTAGGGGAAGCGGGAAAGTGTGCCTGGGGAGGACCCACGGAGGCAGAGGAACCGAGAGGAGACTTGGTAACTGAAGCCCCCGGAACAAGGGGAAGAGGCTGTGGGTCCTACAGCTGCCTGCACACCCCACCGAGCAGTTGCAAGTTCCCCTTCTTGGGGTTGAGGGTGGGGCCAGGCTGGGGAGCAGTGAGAAGGCCAAGTTTGGAGCACAGAATTGGGAGACGGGGACGGGGAGGACGTGGGGCTAGGGCCATGATCCCTGGTGGACATGGCTGAGGCACTTTTCTGGGAAGATGTCAGCTCTTGGGAAGTAGTGATGAAGAAAGGAGGAGTGACCTCTCCTGGGAAAAGCAGCACAATAACCATCTTCCAAACCCCAACTCCTAGGGCTCTTCCTCCAGGAAGCCCTCTCTGCTCTCCCTCTGATCTCACCCCAACTCCCACCCCTAGCCTGGGCACTCCTCTGGCTCTTCCTGACCCATTCCCTTTAAAATGCCACCCTATCCACCCTCTTGTGTTTCCTTCTAGTCTGTAGCCTGGATTGCTGCTTAGACAGGACATGACTGGCACCTGCCTACACACAATATGTGACTTTACGTACCTGACACCCAGTAGGTGCTCAGGATATGTGGGTTGTGTCCCAGCTTGGCAGCACAGCTGGGCGATCTCGAGGATGTTACTTAATCTCTCTGGGTACACCACCCCCATCTCATAAATAAGAAAATTGCCCTGTGAATCTCCAGGTGATGTGGCCTTGGATTGGATTAGTTTGACTAGACCCCCGAGTTTCCTTCCCTGGCTTGCTTAGCCCCAGCCATCCCGTATAGGCCTATTCTGCATTCTGTCCTCCCCATCCCACAGCATCTTTTGGGTTCCAAGATCAGGGCTGGCAAGAGCTTTGGCATCAGTGTGCCTGGGTCGAGTCCTGCCTCTGACATGTCTTCACTATATAACTTCAGAGAGTATCTTCTTGTCCATAAACCACAGTCCCCCTGTCTGTAAAACAATAATCATCTACTTTGCCACCTTGCCCCTGGCCCATGCTTGAGGGAGGTGGGCGTGAGGAGTAGAATGCAGTTCAGACCTCACCTGGCTGGTATGAGTGTTACCAGGGTCCCCCAAGGAGCTCCCAACCTGTTAGGGAAGGGGGTGGAGCCAGACACAACGGCCCAGCCCTAAGGAGTCAGCCCAGACCAGGGTTTCCAGGTAGGATCTGAGAGCTAAGTTACCAGTCAGATGTGGAGCTGGGAAGAGAGTGTTCCAGGCAGCTGGAACAGCAGGAGCCCTAGGGTAGGGCTGATTTTGTTCCTACTGCAAGCCATGGGGGCAGGGCCAGACTGCACAGGCCCAGATTGCACAGGCCTGGATGGCTTTGGAAAGGAGGCTGGGGTCTTGACTGAGGGTGCTGAGCAGTCAGGGAAGGATTTAGAGCTGGAGAAGCAGGTGAGGGGTTTTTGTTTGAAAACCCCCCTATGGGTTTGAGTTAACCTCTGAAAGCTGCTCTCCTGCTCTCCATGCACCTGGAATGGGACAGTGAAGCAAATGGAGGGGGAATGGTAGGAGGTAGGTTTCTCACTGTTTCAGTGAAAGGTTACAGATAGGCAAGGGAAGGAGGCTAGATAGATTCACTTCATAAAGGAATAGATATAGAGACATCTGAACGAACTCATATACAGACTCACAACTTAATATGCAGACAGCTACATATGGAAATATTTATAAATCTATGTACATACACAGGTTAGTATACACACATAGATATCCTTGCTCTGTCAGCTGAGAGGGCCTGGAAACAGCGATATCCCAGTAGCAATGAGCATCCCTACTGCTCCAGTCTTGGCTTCTAACACCATTCTCCAGTGAAAGGCACTGAGGCTGCTCCCTGGAGAAAAGGCTGATTTGGGGCCTGGTGCAGGAAATGCTTAAGCTTGGAGCATCTTGTAGTGACAGAGTAAGGAAACGTTAAAATAAAAAAGTCAAGTATGCAATGGAGGCATATCAAAGGGACATGAGAGCCAACCAAACGAGCTCCCAGCAGCCAAAGCTGGAACAATCTGAGCAAGAAAATCAATAAGGTAGTATTGGATTATAACCCAAAGTGTAAAATAAATATCCATACTGATATTAATGATTGAATAGGTAAATAAAGGAGAGAGATGAGACATATTGCCCAGAGAAATCCCAAATAATTTATGCAGATGTTCTGCCCTCAAGGAGGGGAAGTGGGACTCCCCACCCTCAGGAGTGGGCTGCAGTGACTTCCTTCCAAAGAGGACAGCCTGGAAAAGAGGAAGAGAAGCTTTACAGAGGAGACACCTGACAGCCACCAGCTCAGCCAGATGATCAAGGTCAACATCACAGTGATAAGTCATGTTGATGGCATGTGCCCTGGTTGCAGTGTGATGAGAAGCTTCACCTCTGTGGTCCCCCTCCCCACATCCATCACCACAGTCCAACCATGAGAAAAACACCACACAAATCTCAACTGTGGACATCATATTATAATATATAAATGTAGCAAATCAACATGTTATAC